ACACTGTGGGTGTGGGGGCACACTGTGGGTGTGGGGGCACTGTGGGTGTGGGGGCACACTGTGGGTGTGGGGGCACACTGTGGGTGTGGGGGCACACTGTGGGTGTGGGGGCACACTGTGGGTGTGGGGACACACTGTGGGTGTGGGGGCACACTTCGGTTTCACTACTGTCGACTTTTGATTGAAGATGGTCCAACACTGTAATAAAAATATTTATTTAGATAAGACATATAACGATATTTATAGTAGAAACAACAGTAGTAATGATAATAATAATGATAAATAATAATAATGATAATAATAATAATAACAATAATAATGACAATAATAACAATACTACTACTACTACTACTACTACTACTACTACTACTACTACTACTAATAATAATAATAATAATAATAATAATAATAATAATAATAATAATAATAATAATAATTATTATTATTATTATTATTATTATTATTATTATTATTATTATTATTATTATTATTATTGCTATTATTATTTTTGAAAATAGTGAATTTTACTGGATCTAAATGTGGTTCCTGAAGAACACCGACCTGAACCTCTGGTCCTTGGTGGGTTAACAGGGTTACAAGACTATCTACTACACCAGGTTCATTAAGGCTGCATATCGCCCGTACAACATCAGTCAAGAATATTCAAGAATATTTTAATATTCTCTCAGCTTGTACACACACTGGGAAATACAAAGTTTTACCTGTGTATGTGTGTTTGTGTGTATATGTGTGTACTCTCCTATTTGTGGTTGCAGGGGTCGATCCACAGCTCCTGGCTCCTCCTCTTCGCTGGTCGCTACTAGGTCCACTCTCTTCATGTGTGTGTGTGTGTGTGTGTGTGTGTGTGTGTGTGTGTGTGTGTGTGTGTGTGTGTGTTATTAATGATATTGTTCTTCGTAATCAATCTCCATTTGATGTTATTGATGTTAAGGAAATAATGATAAAATAGAGTGCTAAGAAGCAAGATTGCAAACTACCTGGACTCCCAATCATTGTACAATCCAGGTCAACATGGGTTCAGGGCAGGTCGCTCCTGCCTCTCACAATTACTGGATCACAATGATATGGTCTTGGATGCGCTGGAAGAAAAGCAGAATGCAGATGTAATATACACAGACTATGCGATAGCTTTTGACAAGTGATCATGGTGTAATAGCGCACAAAATGCGTGCTAAAGGGATAGCTGACAAAGTAGGCAGATGGATCTTCAACTTTCTAACCAATCGAATACAAAGAGTAGTGGTAAAGAGAGTTATATCGGAAGCTGCCATAGTGAAGAACTCTGTTCCACAAGGCACAGTACTCGCCCCTATCCTGTTCCTCATCCTCATATAAGACATAGACAGAGATGTAATCCACAGCACTGTGTCATCCTTTGCAGACGATGCTAGGATCTGCATGAGAGTGTCATCTAGTGAGGACGCGACAGATCCTGCAGACGATGCTAGGATCTGCATGAGAGTGTCATCTAGTGAGGACGCGACAGATCCTGCAGACGATGCTAGGATCTGCATGAGAGTGTCATCTAGTGAGGACGCGACAGATCCTGCAGACGATGCTAGGATCTGCATGAGAGTGTCATCTAGTGAGGACGCGGTTAACCTCCAAGAAGATATAAACCAAGTTTTCCAATGGTCAACAGAGAACAATATGATGTTCAATGAAGACAAATTCCAACTACTCCGTTATGGACAACTGGAGGAAATAATAACTAGAACTGAGTATACTACAAACTCTAATTATACAATAGAGCGGAAAAGTAATGTGAAAGACCTAGGAGTAGTAATGTCTGAGGATCTCACCTTCAAGGATCACACCAATGTCACTATCACATCTGCTAGGAAACTGATAGGATGGATAATGAGAACATTCAAGACAAGAGATGCCAAACCAATGATGATCCTTTTCAAATCACTTGTTCTCTCTAGGCTGGAATACTGCTGTACATTAACATCCCCATTCACGGCAGGTGAAATTGCAGATCTAGAGAATGTATAGAGAACCTTTACTGCACGTATAAGTTCTATCAAATACCTCAAGTACTGGGAGCGCCTGGAAGCACTTGACTTGTACTCACTGGAACGGAGGCGAGAGAGATATATCATAATCTACACCTGGAAGATCCTGGAGGGACTGGTCCCTAACCTGTACACAGAAATCACTCCCTACGAAAGTAAAAGACTTGGTAGGCGATGCAATATACTCCCAGTGAAAAGTAGGGGCGTCACTGGTACACTAAGGGAAAACACCGTAAGTGTCTGGGGCCCAAGATTGTTCAACAGCCTCCCACCAGCCATAAGGGGAATTACCAATAAACCCCTGGTTGTCTTCAAGAGGGAGCTGGACAGATAAAGTCGGTGCCAGATCACCCGGGCTGTGGTTCGTCCGTTGGAATACTTGCGGCCAGCAGTAACAGCCTGGTTGATCAAGCCTTGATCCACAGGGAGGCCGCGGGGGTGTTGATCCATGGAATACTCTCCAGGTAGACAAAGGTAAATTAACCCCCATGTATACCTTCAGCGGTGAGGCAACACTGGTCTACTTCCTGAACTATGGACACCGTGATTTCTTCTAAATATTGCTTGTAACCTTCCTGTTGGTGGGAGGGTAGTTTGTTGTTGCTTGCCTAGGTGTAACTAGCTAGCAGGTGTAACTAGCTAGCAGTTGCAACTAGCTAGTAGGTGTAACTAGCTAGATGTAACTAGCATGTAGGTGTGACTGGCAAGTAGATGTGACTAGCTAGCAGATGTAACTAGCTAGCAGGTGTAACTAGCTAGCAGGTGTAACTAGCTAGCAGGTATAACTAGCTTGCAGGTGTAACTAGCTAGCGGGTGTAACTAGCTAGCAGGTGTAACTAGCTAGCAGGTGTAACTAGCTAGCAGGTGTAACTAGCTAGCAGGTGTAACTAGCTAGATGTAACTAGCATGTAGGTGTGACTGGCAAGTAGATTTGACTAGCAAGTAGATGTGACTAGCAGGTGTAACTAGCTAGCAGGTGTAACTAGCTAGCAGGTGTAACTAGCTAACAGGTGTAACTAGCTAGCAGGTGTAACTAGCTAGCAGGTGTAACTAGCTAGCAGGTGTAACTAGCTAGCAGGTGTAACTAGCTAGCAGGTGTAACTAGCTAGCAGGTTGTAACTAGCTAGCAGGTGTAACTAGCTAGCAGGTTGTAACTAGCTAGCAGGTGTAACTAGCTTGCAGGTGTAACTAGCTAGCAGGTGTAACTAGCTAAGGTGTAACTAGCTAGCAGGTTTTTAACTAGCTAGCAGGTGTAACTAGCTAGCAGGTGTAACTAGCTAGCAGGTGTAACTAGCTAGCAGGTGTAACTAGCTAGCAGGTGTAACTAGCTAGCAGGTGTAACTAGCTAGAGGTGTAACTAGCTAGCAGGTGTAACTAGCTAGCAGGTGTAACTAGCTAGCAGGTGTAACTAGCTAGCAGGTGTAACTAGCTAGCAGGTGTACCTAGCTTGCAGGTGTAACTAGCTAGCAGGTGTAACTAGCTAGCAGGTGTAACTAGCTAGCAGGTGTAACTAGCTAGCAGGTGTAACTAGCTAGCAGGTGTAACTAGCTAGCAGGTGTAACTAGCTAGCAGGTGTAACTAGCTAGCAGGTGTAACTAGTTAGCAGGTGTAACTAGCTAGCAGGTGTAACTAGCTAGTAGGTGATGTGAACTTTACTGAGTGGGTAAGCTGTCTGTTGTTTGATGTTCTGTTGTTGTCTGGTGTTCTGTTGCTGTCTGTTGTTACAGAGGTGAAGACTGTCTTGACTGCTATAGCAATGTCTGTTGTTGCCTGTTGTTGTTCTGTTGTTAACAGTCAAATTACAACAGTTCTCTGGGGTTACATTCAGAGTTATATTTAAGGTCACCCTGCGATGTTACCTTTGAAAGAATTACATTCGTGGTTACCTTTGGAATTACTGTGTGTAACTTTCTGTTTACCATTTTCTCTCTCTCTCTCTCTCTCTCTCTCTCTCTCTCTCTCTCTCTCTCTCTCTCTCTCTCTCTCTCTCTCTCTCTCTCTCTCTCTCTCTCTCTCTCTCTCTCTCCACATGAGCTTAAAACTCAGTTTGCATTTGTTATCTTTATTACGTTTTGTTAGTAGACTCGGTAGAAGGAGAGAGAGAGAGAGGGAGAGAGAGAGAGAGAGAGAGAGTAGATACAACACGAGGGGAGGAAAGGGGAAAGCGATCTCCTCTTAAACTTGAAGACTGCCACAATAATGACTGGATAGCGTGATACTTCCCCTCTTCTTCTCTTCCCCTCTTTCCTTCTACTATTTCGCTCTCTTCCCTTTTCCCCTCTACCCTCTTTCCTTCTACTATCTTCCCCTCTACCCACTTTCCTTCTACCATCTTCCCCTCTACCCTCTTTCCTTCTACCCCTCTTCCCCTCTACCCTCTTTCCTTCTACTATCTTCCCCTCTACCCACTTTCCTTCTACCATCTTCCCCTCTACCCTCTTTCCTTCTACCATCTTCCCCTCTACCCTCTTTCCTTCTACCATCTTCCCTCTACCCTCTTTCCTTCTAAACCCTCTTCCCTTTACCCTCTTCCCTTCTACCATCTTCCCCTCTAACCTCTTTCCTTCTACCATCTTCCCCTCTACCCTCTTCCCTTCTACCATCTTCCCTCTACCCTCTTTCCTTCTACCATCTTCCCCTCTACCCTCTTCCCTTCTACCATCTTCCCTCTACCCACTTTCCTTCTACCATCTTCCCCTCTACCCTCTTTTCCTTCTACCATCTTCCCCTCTACCCCTTTCCCTTCTACCATCTTCCCCTCTACCCACTTTCCTTCTATCATCTTCCCCTCTACCCTCTTTCCTTCTACCATCTTCCCCTCTACCCTCTTTCCTTCTACCATCTTCCCCTTTACCCTCTTCCCTTCTACTATCTTCCCCTCTAACCTCTTTCCTTCTACCATCTTCCCCTCTACCCTCTTTTCCTTCTGCCATCTTCCCCTCTACCCTCTTTCCTTCTACC